TTTAAGAAGCCTGGTGGACATCTCTGCAAGACTGTCCCACAGGCATTTCACAGGCACGAGAGCAAGCCAGTCAGGAGCACGCTCCTTAGTGCCAGATGAATCTGGGTTCGAGTCCCAGCGTTGCCCCTGCTTGTTAGGAGACTTTGGCTGCTGATTCTTCTCTAAGCTTCAGCTTCCAAATCTGTAGACTGGAAATAAACAGTACCTGCTTTATATTAACATAATTAGAGAATTAACATAAAATATTCATAGAGTACCTGGCACATGGTAAATGCTCCATAAATAACAAACATTATGAGATATAAAAGTGAACTCAGTCTCTCCACCTGCAAGCCTGTGCTTCTCAGCCTGTCCCATCCTTTTTTTTTTTTCCCAAATTCTGTGGGTACAAATATTGTTAGGGTTACATATCTTGCCCCTGTCCCCCTCCCCACCCTGCTCTGCCGGAGCTTCAAGCGTGTCCAGTCTTCAAGTGGTGCGCCCTGCACCCACCATGAAAGTGCGTACCCTTCCCCTTCTCCCCCCTTCCACCTGTTCACCTCCCATTAACAATTTTTTTATATACATTTTGGTTACAGTGTGTTTCTTTGCCTCTCCCTAAAAAGGGATAGAGGTAATCCTTTCCCCTCTATAATGCTCATCACATCCTTAAGATGTGGGTCTCTCCCCCTCAGATCCCTGTTAAACACTACAATTATTTGAACACCATAGTTTTAGGCTGTCAGTACCAATTTGATGGTGAGTAGATGTGTAGCCCATTTTCCAGGTGTTGTGTCGTCTCGCTTTGTATTACAGGCTTAAGCTTAATCCACAACAGAATAAACAGTGCTAGTTCACTATCGTTTCTTAGGATTGAGTAATATTCCATTGTGAGCATATACCACATTTTAGTTATCCATTCATGAATTGACGGGCACTTGGGTAGTTTCCATGACCGTGCAATAGTGAATTGTGCTGCTATAAACATTCGGGTGCAGATGTCTTTATAATAGAGTGGCTTATGTTCTTCTGTTCCATCCTTCTAAACTCCTTCCTTTCCATCCACATTCCATCCAATGGGTCACTAAGTTCTGTTCATCTCTGCTCTTTTATTTTCTCATTTCCTAGCACACAGATAAAGAATAATTATATGAAATTATAAACAAATAATTTTTTTTCCAAAATAGAGTCTGGCAAACTGAATAGGGTAACAGAGGAAAGGCCTGAGTTGTAAAATGTATCATATGGCCTGAAAAGTGGCACTGGGCAAAGTGTCCTGTGTGAACAGCAGCACTGGGAGTAAAAAGCATCATGGGAAAAATATAAAAGCCAATCTGTACCTTCGCCCTACCCACCTGAGACACAACTATAGCAAAGTGGCTATGGCTAAAGTTATCTACTCTACCGCCAACACCAGCTCTGCCTCCTTAAGGCTATGTCCTTGAGCAAATTAATTCTCTGTGACTTGGTTTTCTCATCTGTAAGATAAGGATAATACTAGTAACTTGGGTTGTTTTAAGGATAAAGTTAACAGATATAAAATACTTAGAAGAGGCCGGGTACGTTCCCATGACTGTAATCCCAGCACTTTGAGAAGCTAAGGCAGAAAGATTGCTTTGAGATCAGCCTGGGCAATATAGTGAGACCCCATCTCTACAACAACATTTAAAAATTAGCCAGTGTGGTGGTGTGGGCCTGTAGTCCCAGCTATTTGGGAGGTTAAGGCAGGAGAATCTCTTGAGCCCAGAAGTTGGAGGTTGCAGTGAGGTATAATATGATCATACCACTGCACTCCAGCCTGGATGATAGAGTGAGACCTTGTCTCTAAAAATAAATACATACATACTTAGAAGAATTCCTAGCACATAGTAAGCACTCAATAAATATTAGCTATCATTTTTATAGTGCTATTTGTGAGGATCAAATGAAACATCTGTAATCTGTGAAAGTAATAAAAGTTGATATTATTGCATCAGTAATAAAAGGAAAAATGACATATTCTTCAAACCAGACTATTTTCTACTTGACAAGTATTTATGGGGTCTTTTGACATACTGTCTTGAATTTAAACTCAGCTATAAAAGATAAATACTATGTTTTGAAATTCATGTAACGGCATTTAATAAAAATGTTTAAAGCATTTATCACCTTATATTAGCCAATATATATGTATAGACTCATTATTTGGGAACCTAATGCTCTCTAAATTCACCAAATTTGAGTAAAAATCACATTAGACTGATAACAAGAGTCCAGGGTTCAAATTCCTGCCTTGCCATAAATAAGCTGAATATCTTTAGGCAAGTTACTCAGCCTCTGAAACCCTCAGGTCAGATTTCTTCTATGTAAAATTACCAGGTAGAGGAAGATAATCTGCAAGGCCACATCCAATTATGAAATTCCACGAGTTGCAGGTTAGGATAAACATCATTATCTTTGTTTTCTTCGAGATACATTTTAAAGGGCTTGCCTGAAGTCAGACCTTTGGAATTTCAAACCAACAGAAAATACCATTTTCCTGGGTCCCAGATTGGGTCCTTCAGTTCAGTGTATCTCTGGTTTTTCAAAAATCAAGATGCCATAGAATTCTTCTACTATATGAAAATATTGGAAATAAAGACAATTGAGGGAAAATAAACTCTTAGCAAGCTGACACCACATAAAAATGCTTTTTTAGGCTAAAAGATTCCTTTACTAGCTTGGTGAAAGTAAGATCAAAAAAATTTCCAAAGGCAGATAAAGCCAATTCACCCTTATTCCTATAGCCTGAAACCAACAACCTAGTTTTGCTGCTAGCCTCTATTGGTCTCATTACTGCTGAAGTCTAAGAAAACTGCAATGACAAGGGTTACATGATTCTACCTGTACCCCACCAATGTAATTAACACTACCTGGCAAAGGACAGCAGAAGAGACAGTGTGTTGGCAAATGGCAAAAATGAACATAAAGCATTGTAAAATCAATTGTTTTCTTAGTGGTTATATTAATATCAGACAAAGTAGAATTGAAGACAAGGAATATTACCAAAGACAAAGAGGGACATACCATTATGACAAATGGGTCAATTCATTAAGAACATATGGCAATCTTAAATATGTATACACCTAATAACAGACCTTCAAAATATAAGAAACAAAAATTCATAGAACTGAAGATAAAAAGAGACAAATCCATAGGATTGAGATTTTAAACATTCTTCTTTCAATATTAATAGAACAAATAGAGAAGATCAATAAGGATATTAAAGATGTGGCTAACATTAACAACCAAATTGATCTATTAGATATTTATATTAACATAACACAATAACCAACAATTACATAAAATACTTTTTTCAAATGCATATGGAATAATTATTTAGAAGGACCATTAATGAAACATAAGTTAAATCTCAAAAATTTCAAAGAATTTAATTATACAGAGTATTTCTCTGACTACAACAGAATTAAATTAGAAACCAGTTACCAAAAGATAAATGGGAAATCCCAGAAATTGAGAATTAAGAAACCTATTTCAAAATAATCATAAATTGACGAAATAATCTAAATGTAAATTGGAAAATAATTCAAGCAAAATGCTAATGAAATCAAAATTTGTGAAATGCGACCAAAATTGCACTTACAAGGCAATTTCTAGCTTTGAACACTTACATTCGAAAAGAAGAAACATTTAAAAATAATAATCTAAGCTTCTACATAAAGAAACCAAGGGGAATGCTAATTAAGTTGAAATTAATTAGCAAAAATAAAATATTAAAGAATGGAAAACAATAAAATGGAAAAAAAGCAATAGAAAAAATCAAAAAGCCAAAAGCTATTATCTTTTCTTTTTGTATTTTTTTTATTTCAGCATACTATGGGGTTACAAATTTTAAGGTTTCAAATAATGCCCTTTCCACCCCCCCCCACAAGTCTGAGCTTCCAGCATGACCATTCCCCAGACGGTGCACATCTCACTCATTATGTATGTATGTAACGCCCCCCTCCCCCTCCCACCTGCCCAATACCCAATTACTGTAGTTCCTATGTCTCCACTTAGGTGCTGCTCAGTTAATACCAGTTTGCTGGTGAGTACATGTGGTGCTTGTTTTTACATTCTTGGGATACTTCACTTAGTAGTATGGGTTCCAGCTCTATCCAGGGAAATACAAGGTGTGCTCTATCACCGTTGTTTTTTAGAGCTGAATAGTACTCCATGGTATACATATACCACATTTTATTAGTCCACTCATGGATTGAAGGGCACTTGGGTTGTTTCCACAGCTTTGCAATTATGAATTGTGCTGCTATAAACATTTGAGTGCAGGTGTCTTTTCTGTAGAGTGTCATTGGATCTAAAAGCTGTATCTTTGAAAAGGTATTTTAAAAGGGATAAACCCTGTGATCAAGACTTATCTAGAAAGAAAAGGAGAGGAAAAAACTCACAAATTACCAATATGAAGAGTAGAATAGAGATATTACTACAGACTCTATAGAGCTTAAAAGAATAAGAAAGGAATACCATAAAGAACCTTATGACAATAAACTTACCAGCTTTGGATAAAATGGGAAAAATCCACTAAAAACACAAATTATGAAAAATGGTACATAATAAAACATTTGAAGAGCCCTATAACTGTGAAAGAGGTTTAACTTATCATTTAAATTTTCCCATAAAGAAACCTCAAGGGTAAAATGATTTCATTGATGTTTTCTTTCAAGCATTAAGGAAGAATGAATACCAATTTTATACATACTGTTTCAGAAAATAAAGGAGGAGGAAACTTCTTAACACATTTTATGAGGCCAGAGTAAACCTGACACTAAAACCTGACAAGGACATTACCAAAAAAACAAAAAGTATGTACCAATAACTCTCCTGAATATAAATACAAAAATTATTAGCATAATACTAGTAAATCAAATCTAGTTATATAAAGAGTATAATACATCATCAGCAGTCGGCTTTTTCCTCCAAATGCAAAATTAACAATCTAAAGTCAGTCAGCATGTCAACTGAAATTAAGGCTGTTGAAACAGAAATAATTTGACAAAGGTTTATTGGAAGGCAAATGTATGGTTTAACTCTGGAAGACAGATTAACAAAGTTGGGCGTGGTTCAGAGACTGTTACAAGTTGGAAGGCTTTTGTAAGAGAGTTTAAGAGAAGGGAGAGGGATTCCTCATCCTGAAGTTGTCCATTTTCATTGGAGGTTTAAAATATAGACGTTAGAATCATTAGATACCAATTACAAGAGACAAGCTAAAATGTCTACCTGTGAGACAGTCAGTAAAACTTTAGGATTCAGAAACAAATCAGCTTCCTTTTCAGTGTCAGTAGGTTATGCATTAATCAGTAGGTCAACAATGTGAGGAACTCATGACAAGATTCCTTACTCAGGAACAGTATGTCTCCTTGAATCACAAGACCTTCCCAAGGTAGGTTAATTTGTAAGCCTGTTTTCTTTGAATGTAAACTATCAAATGTGAGCTGTAGGTTATCATTTCCCCCTTCCTCTTTGATCAAAATCTTCTCCTAGAAGCACTGATGATCAAGCTCCGCTGAAGTTAAGAGTGACAGATGTTCATTTCTTGGTGTTGGGAAGGCTCATTCCCAGAAGGCATGTCTCCTGGTGGGGGAAAGCACCTTGTTATTGCAGGCAGTCCAGACTACTAGCAACGCGGGGTGGGTCATGACATGAGGCTACACGCTATTCTTCTGAATAATGAGTCATCCCCCTGTCATTGGGTGACCATTATTTTGGTCTTAGCCATTGATCTAAAACAAGCAGGAATACAAATCATGAATAATTTAATAGCCAGGAAAATAACAACTATGTTTATGATCATAATAATAACAACTAGAACACTAGAATAAAATAAAAAACTTAGTCCAGAGGGTAACCAACTAAACAAGTCATTGATTTATAGCCGCTGTTGCTTGTTGAATCATTTGTAGTCTTCAGAATGTCATAATTTTGGTTTCCTTAGAAATAAAGCAACAAGAGATATGTAGGACTAATAATTTGAATAGTGCAAAAAATGCACATAAGGATGATAATCAAACAATTAATTTGTATCCCAGAACAGAAAAAAAAAGAACCTATTCCATTAGGGAACCAACTAAAAACACCATGAAGAAAATAAAATCCAGCTTCTTCCTTAGAGACTTGTTGTAACCAGGAAATAATCCAGTATTCAGTTCAAATTATAGGCAAATTAAAAAAAAAAAAAAACCTCAAAAACAATGATTAGGGCTAAAATCTAATAACAGGTGTGCTAAAGTTTTCTATCGAAACATGTTTTTTCTCTCTCCATTCCTCCTTATCTACCAAAGAGAAATCATAGTGAGCCAATTTATTTGCAATATTATTTTTGGTTTTATTATACTTGGCTTGATTATTTGCATACAGTGCAAGAAAAATAGCGATTGGCCATATATTCTCCTTTTAGCTGGCTTTGCTGGAACTTTTTCATAAGGGATTTCAAATTAGACTTTTAAAAGCCTCTTGAGGCTAGGAACCCAAGCCAAGGATTCACCATCAGACTGTCTGTATTAATGGCACAAACTGGATAAATTCCTCTCTTCTTGAGGTGCTCAAAATAATTTGAGGTTCCTGGGCCTGCCCAAAGGTGACATTCTTTACTTACAAGGTCAGGAACCCTGTAAGGGAACCACGTGGATGAAGTACCCAGCCAGTCTTTTTCCAAGTCTATTGGCCTTATAAAGTCACTCTCAGTCCCTCAAAGTTGTGTTGTCATATTTGAAAATATGACATTCCAGTCAAAGCCTTGGTAAAATAACCAAAGTTACCAATGTGTAATGTGTCCTATTACTAAAGAAAATAGGTTCTTATTGAACTTATGCAAATAACTATATTGCCATGAAATTAAGAGTGCTTATGAATAGTTTTCAAATTCTGGAGGCTTCAGGTAGAGAGTGAAAGGTAAATGTTTCAGTTTTGTTCACAAAAGAATACTTTACCCAGTTGCTTTAAGATATCAAGAGCTCAAAAGAAAAAAGAGTTGTCTTGATTCTGGAAAACAAAATATAAAAAGAATCAGCAATATTTCAAACAAAAATTCATTAAAAAAAACCACTTTAGTCCTCCATCAGTTCAGTCCCATGGAATTCTTGCTCTGCTTGGTGTTGGGTTAATAATCTTTATGAACACATCAGCTTTTTATTAGAGTTCTGGAGGTTTTTACCTGGTCCATTGATCTTAAAGTTATCAGGAATCTGGGTTTAAGAGAACATGTTAGAGTATTTTCCATGAAGAGCAATTTTGGACTACAGCTGATTGCAAATGATTTTAGAGAAGAATTCTGAACAATAACTGTGACTGACAAAATCCTAGACTACTCATGGTTAAAATATGATGAAAGTTCCCAAATGGCAAGGAAATTTAGTTATCTCTATTACACGCAGCGTTTTAAGATAACAAGCAGAATCATATCTGAAGGCATCACATGAGAACCCTCAGACTTTTATAAATTTCATATAATCTTCAGAATATTAACATTAATAACATATCTATACAAATATAACTTTAGAAAATATTTAACATAATAGTCAAACTTATGACTGACAACATATTAAATTTTTATGAATTTATATTAGTTTTAGAATATTTATGTCAATAACATACCCATAAAGATAACTGAAAGACATTTTATCATGTCTCCCACATAATTTAGCAAATATGTTTAATCATTTAATATCTGTATAAAATAAGGGATACATTCTTTGAGGTTCTCCTGATGCCCAGCTGAAAATCTCAAAGTTAATTTTAGGCCCAAAAGATTTAATTTAGGATTTCAATCCTGGGGAAACCTGCCAAAGATATCAAATGGCTAAAAACACTTCATCAAAGCAGAATCATAGGTAATAGTTATTTGTTTAACCAGAGTGATAATCAAAAGATTTCAAAGACAATACAGAAAGTTACATGAGTGTGAAAACCTTAACCCTTTTAAATCTGTTTTCCTAAGTAATCACAAAATCTGTAAAGCAACACAAGAATTATCTCAATAAGATATAAAATCTTTGTTTTTTAGGCCAGTTACCAAAAAGGCAAAGAAAACTCTCCTGTAGTATGATTGCAAAACCAAAGCCATTTGTTGGTTCTTTATAAATTATATATATATCCCCATCGTATTATCCAATAATTCTACTCCTAGGAATTTGCCCAGGACAAATGAAAACAAAGATTTTTATAAGAATATTCATAGTAGCTTTATTCATAATAGCCAAAAACTGGAAACAATCAAAATATCCATCAACAGGAGAAAGGTTAAACAAATTGTGATAAAAATCATATGATCAGATCCTGCATAGAAATAATAAAGAATGAATTAATGATACTCAGAAAATCATGAATGAACCAGAAAAATCTCAAAAACATTTTGTTGAGCAAAAGAATACAGGAATAAAAGGGTATTTCATTTACAGCAAGTTCAAGAATAGGATAAACTAATAGAACTAGAACGGTGGTTAGGAGGTAGAGAAGGAATTTACTGCAAAGCCATGGAAGAAACTTTACAGGTTGATGGTAAGGCTCCACATTTTTATGGGGATGTTGGTCATAGGTTTATACATTTGTCAAAGCCCATCAAACTGTACAGTTATGATCTGTGCACTTCATACACTAATAAATAAAAACCTAGCATTTTCAAATACTTTATGTGAAATATAAAGCAGGCATGCCCTACTTTTAAGAAAAACATTATAAAATAGCTAAATCAGGTTGTGATTAGCAAGATGATTTTCACTCAGGACACTTGCTTGGGAGTTCCTCTAAATAAAAAGTTCCCTTAATACAGTGAAAATGTGATCAGATTTACAAATACACAGTTTAAAACAGCTGTTTAGAAACATAAGAACATAAATACTTAAGAATCAGTTCAAAAATTGGAAAATTTCTTAGTCATCTTACAAAGAATCTCTCAGGTATTTAACTTAGTCCTAGAAGTAGATAACTTGAGATCAAGTTTCAAGGAAATAATCTTCATAGTAGAGACATCACAATTGATGAACTCACAACTCAAACAACTATGTGAGTTTTCTTAGTACATAGGAAAAACCTTGTTTCAATAGGTTCAAAACAGCTATAAGAAGCAGCTTTTGCATTTACAAACCAATCTGGTTATATGTGACATTTTTCTGCATGGGCAAGCATCTTCAGTTTTATCTTGACATATCTATTGCTATCTTTCTAAAAGCTGCTTTTGCACATAAAAGATTGCCATTTCACACATAGCAAAATACTTAAAATCTCCCTCACACGTACAAAAAAAGTCATATAATCTCTGGAAAATTGGTTATATTTTTATCATTACTGAGAACTGGTAAAATTAAGTTATGTAAGTTATATAAGTTTATACGAACCTTACATATTATCTTATCAACTAGCTATGATAAATATGATCTACACATAATATATGCAATGTAACCAAGGTGTTTCTCATCACCTGTTTTCTCAAGGACCTGTTTTTTCACTATGTGAAGTCTAATCATACTATGATTTACATGAAAACAGAAAACAGAGGATCGAAAAGACATAGGGACTCTATTACTTGGAACAAAGTCTTTTCTCACCAGTAACAGACAGACACCAACAGCACCAATGGCTTCCAGTTCTACAAATCAATGAGATAAGAAGCACTTCTCCTTGGATTCAATATAACTCATCACTGACAATGACCCTGCCTCTGCTGCTATGGCCAATGTCAGAGCTCATGGGCAGGATTAAACAAGGAGAAGGAAACCTTGAACCATGAGAAAGATCCATGGACCTGCCAATAGAGCTGGCCTGGGTTTAGTCAAACAAAAAGATGTGTGGTGCTACACCCAACAACTTGATCACTCACTCCCTTTCTTAGCTAATACTGGGTGGAGGACAGGGAAGCAACTTAACCTCATTGAACTGGGAAGCTATACTGAAAACTTACCATTTGTTGACAGGTGGATTTTGTGTGTACCTGGTCCGTCTTGAGCAGTATCCAATTTAGTTACTAAAGAACCTGGGGTGCTTTGTAGAAAATTTCAATGTTAAAAGCAATGTCACCTATTTGGCCTAAATTCTAACAAAGGAATTATAAAACACTAGAATAATTCCTAGCATATAGTAGGTTATCAGTATATATTTGTTAAGTGAATGAATGAATGAATAAATGGATGAATGAATGAATGATGTAGGGCTCTAATATATTGCTGAGCAACTCCAATTCTTATGCATAAAATTAAGCATAATTTATTGGTTTCATTTGAACATGCATATTTACATAAAATGACACTAGCTACCTTTTATTAAGTACCTGCTACATAACTGGTAGAACACAGATAATATTTTGAAAGTATTAAACTGGTATACTTGCCTTGCTACTCCCCATCCAGTAAAATCAAGAGCATTTAACACTTTTAGGGAACAGATAAAGAAAAAAGAAGTTATTCAGTTCAGTTTTAACTTGTATATATTTGTTAGTCACATTTTTAGGTTTGCTAACCAGGCTTTGTTGAAGGGGAATGGAAATTTCCAAACTCAAAAGGATTCCCTTGAAATATCAAGAACTGGAGCCTGAAAAGCAAATCAGGGAAATAAAGCCAGAGAAAGCACAGTGTATGTGCTCCTCAGAGAAAGAAGAAGAAAAAAAAAACCCAGCCACTACAGAAGCTGGAGAAGAGAGAATGATATTTAAAACAAGAGTTTAGACTCAGGCATTGTGGCTGTCCTCTTAGGGTCAAAACCCTGGGTGGGGACACAAGTGGGAATAAAAACACCCAAATAGTTCTAGAGGAGCCCAAATACAGAGGGACTTATTCCTCGTTTCTCAAAAGAATAGAATAAAATAATGTGAACTCCTTAGGGAAGACCCGCATTTGTTGTGCTGTTTCAACATGGCGTAGGATTGATAGTAGTGTAGGGATGGATGGCTAAGGCTGGCACCTCACGCCACATGTGGAGAGAAAACACATGAAAATCCTGTGCATCCGGGGAAGGTAGAAGCCAAGCAACCTGGATTCAGGATGAACGCCCACATGAGCAAGGACTTCGGGTCCAGTGGCTGTGGCAGCATCCGACGTCTTTGGGGGAAGATACCAGTTTGATGCCCAAAACCGGGCCCTATCTCAATGGCCACCAGGACGTCACCAAGGGACAGATCTGAGCAGACAGAGAAAACCACCACGGCCCACGCCCCGTCCTGCCACCGTAATGACTACAGTTTGCTCCGGCGTCCAGTGCACATGAGGAAAGGAAAGGGGGGCAGGAGACCCCATGAAAGAGAAGCAGCTTCATAAGAAGTTTGAATCTTAAACTGATTGAATTTATATCTAACAGAAGCTATTTAAATTTCCTTTTACTAGCAATTTTCAGTCCTCCTCCACAACTCACACCTTCACCACCATTAGCAGAAATAAGAATTTGAAAACTAGATTGAATCAGTTATATAAAATTAATTATAAGTTCCTTTCTTTGCATGTCTGAGTTATATTAACATAATAATAATTATTAGTGGCTAGTATTGTCTATCATACACTACCCTAAACTTATTACAATTAACTCATGTATTAATCACAACTATTGTGTAAAGTAGGTACTATTTTTATACTCATTTCACAAATGAGGAAATTGAAACATAAAATCAGATAGCCAATAAGCAACAGAACTTGGACACACACCAGGCAACCCGGCACCAGAACCAGTACTCTTACTTCATCTGGTGAACTGCAGATGTATTTGAATAAACTTAACTTTGCAAACTAGCAAGCAGTGTAGCTGGCATTTAACCACAGTCATGACCCGCATAACACTGTTTTGGTCAATGACAGGCCACATCTACCACACTGGTCCCACAAGATTATAATGGAACAGGAAAATTCCTATGGTCTAGTGATGTTGTAGCCATCTTAAGCTGTATCATTACCTGTTCTATGTTTAGATGCAGAAATACTTACCGTTGTGTTACAATGGCCCACAGTATTCAGTGTAGACGTGCTGTACAGGTTTGTGGCCTAGAGTATGCTACGCCACATGGC